CAGAAAATGTTCAGAGGTGAAGTAAAAGCGAGAAAAACTTTAGAAAGCGCAAGAAAAGTCGAGTGAACAAGTCGCAATAGGTTTTAGTTCAGCAATGATTAGTTGAGATGATAGTTGGGCAAAGATAGAGAACCAAACCAAATACAATCCTGCATTTCTTTTGTCACACATTTAAAAAAACTTTCGGGAAAGTGGCTGGATGGCTGGCGGCTTTTCCAGCTCGTGTCAAAAAAGGTTTCCCCACTCTGTTGACGTGTTATTTATTTGAATTTCTATTTCAGTTGTATACCACCATGGGAAAAAGGTTTCCCCACTCTGTTGACGTGTCATTTATTTGAATTTCTATTTCAGTTGTATATCACCATGGCAAAAATGCATGGGGGGGTCATTACACGAGCGATGTCTGTCACCCAACACATGGCTGGATAAGAACAGACGACACCAGGCTTAAAGTTGTTCCAGTAAACTACGTTCTTAAACCCACACAGGGAAAAGATCCCTACATGCTTTTCTATCGAAGAACAGACCTTATGCCTTAAGTTGGCATGGCAGGGAAGGGAAGGGAAGGGGGGGATGTCACTGGGAGAGGTTAGTAGCTTTAGAAAATTAAGCCGAGTTTACACTATCAAGATTTCCTTGAAAAGTTTCCGTGGTCGTTTGGGAGGGAAAACGTAACATTTTTTTGTTGATAAACATTTTATTAAGGAACACAGAACGCTTGCTCGTCAATATTTACCACGAGCTGGGAGATTTGTAATGGATGGAATTTTCGGAGGGAAATGCCTCTTAAAACAATTTTTTTCCCTCTGAATTTTGGTTGACTGATAAATTTTGTTTGCTCGTGTATGCAGTAAACGATGTTTGCTTAGCATTCCTCTTGCCAGGCCAAGGGAAAATTGCTTGTGTAAATTTGGCTGAACATTTTAGACATACTTGGTTATCTTTATAGCCGCTGGTCGGATCATGTTTTGTCACGGAATGCCTATGTGGATTGCGTAACGGACCAAGGAACGGCTAATTGGATAGCCTAAGAGTAGGATCAGATGATCTATTTTAGGCACTACCAGTAAACATTTAGGGTTACAAAACGTAAACGTACATTTTATCGATGGAACTTCCATAACACACTACGTAATTGACGTACATAACCATAACACAAGAGGTGAATAGTCGATTTAGTATGTACTAAAACAGTGAGATATAAATCACAAAAAGATGATTCCAACTCATTTATTCCTGCAACAATTACATTATTTTTGGGGGCAAATCCCACGCTAGTTGATCGAAGAATATCAGGAGTTTGAGTAGCCACTCAAAGCACTCCTTCAACGCTATCCACTGTTTAAGCATATACTCATGAGGCTTGTCGTGGTCACAACCAAAGCACAGCAAAGCCCGCCAAGGTCAAACAAATTTTCGTTGTAATCTCGTTTCTCATAGAAATAAGGGACTAACGGAGACTTCTAAAGCATACTCGAAATATTGTTCCCGGTGAGCTTTTCAGCAAAATATCTGTTCCATATCTTCAAGAAAATATAGAATTAATTCACGGCGCTGAAAACAACCGGGTGCAAATACACTGAACGTATAATTTGGAGCCATACCTTCTTCACAAAAACTTCTCGAAAAGAATTGGAAAGATGCAAAACCTTAGGTTTTAGGAAAAGATTAATATTATTCAGAGTCCTTTGAAGATACCACTTAAAGACAAGTGTAGGTTAAGTAGCGTGGGATTGGAAATGATTGACTGAAATTTATGAAAGAAAAAAAGGGCGAAGCGAGTGTGAGACAGTAATAAAATTATGATTCGTTGGTATAGGAAATGGAAATAGGAAATAAGACATTTTTTATTAGCTGAAGTGTAATTTCCCAAGTCAATTGTAAAGGACAACTGAAATTCAATTTAAAAATCACCATGGATAGTGACATGTAGATACGGAGATATAAAATGGAAGATGGCATTATTTTATAACTGTGGAAAGTAGATCTAAATGTTTGTAAACAATGTCGATTTAGTATTTCGACAAGGCTGTTACCTACAGCTTGAGGCCAGAAAAGGATTTAATCTTTGAAAGCAGGAAAAAGGATAAGATGTACTCTGAAACTGCTTGTCGAAGTCTTGTGGACGCTTGGAAAGCTGCTCTTATGAATAGAGTTCATCCTCATTAGTAACTAATTTCGAAACCAAATCGTCATGAAACAAGGATGTGTTGTGACGACATGGAATGAAGTGATGACTTCAAATCAAACATTTAATGTTTAGGAGAAAAAAACAAACAAGGTAACTACAGTCGCACACGTTCTTGCAGAGGTGAACAATTTTTGTGTAACTGTGGTAAAAGTTTTAACATCCAATACTCATTCGCGCCTGGAATTACAAACGAACAGTGCATTAAACACCATTTCTGGCAATCGCTAGTCATCCAAAACGAACATCGTGTCATGCGTGGAATTTTCACTGAGTTTGGCTAGTCAGCGCTATGATGGTCATAGTTTGAAAACAGAACCAAAAATTCGAAAGAGGGGTTTATATTTGTTGTAAAAACCTAAAAGTGGAGCAAACGTAATAAGCCCATCGGGAAATTGAAAGAGTAACATGCTATTAGTGCAAAGCTTTGCACCCTTCTGGATGGAAAGAAATGCATTTGCTCGCGGTTAATATGTGTTTGTGAGGTGTTGTTACAACTATTCAAACATTGATATTTGACTGAATAAATGACGCCTCTGAGACGTATGTGAACATGTCTCGTGTTATGACCCAGGGCTAGTTGTATTGTTTGTGTGTGTGTGTGTGTGTGTGCGTGCGTGCGTGCGTGCGTGCGTGCGTTCCTCCTCTCTTTTTGCAAAGCCCTTGATCGTCACTGGTATAACAAACTAAGTGATTGACAGTTCAATGCTAGTTTCCAAAATCGACTAGGCAACATTTCATATCGTTTTATTTCTCAAAAATTTACAAAGTTGGCAATTAACCTTAGTGACGATGTCCATAGCTTATTTAACTGAAATACATCTTCACTCCTTATGAACAGAATTCAAACATCAAGGATAGATACAAATCCGTTTTGGTTTGTTCATGATTAAAAGTTAACGCAGCTGTCGCTCGAAATATCTATGCTACTTCAGCCCTCTCCAACAAGTTCTTCTCCTCCTTCGTGCCACTAAGTGGGTAAGGTAGTTGAAGGGGTTCCCTCTTCGTCTCCATTCTCCTGCAGTCCTTCTAAACCTTTGGGGAGACTAGTATCTTCGACTTCGCTACCAGTTCCCTCGACGAATTCTTCATAAGTCGACTTTTCTTTGAAGGGTCTGCGACCCAGAAGGTCAATCATGTCCTCTCTATCAAGAACTTCTTTTTCCAAGAGTCGTAAGGCAATCTGTTAGGCAAAGAGATCAAGAAATACGTTTACGACATTGGCTAAGTAAGATGCAACCAGACGATAGTACAATCTCTAGTAATCAGCAAAAACTAACAACACATGGCCGAAGGAAAATCTTGAGGTCAGGTGGTCTAAACTGTCCTTAGAAGAGAATAATTGTTTTTTAGTTTAAGCCTAATAATCCTTTAAAAAAGAGTAATCAATAATAAGTTTTGATTCCAACGCTGATAGCCTCCGAACAACCTTTCTATCTCTTTTTCTATCTTTTTGTGTTATTTGGTAAACTGGCCAGCTGGGGTACTCTAAAATTGTTAGAGAGCAGCAGTCTTGTTACTTAATGATGCCATTCAATAAGGTAATAAAATTCGTTCAGAAAGACAGAAAAAGTAACAATGGAATCTCAACTCATTTCTTACAGCCATGCGTATGGCGGGTCTTCTTATGGTTTTTATCAAAATGGAAGTTGTCAGTTTCTTAAGATCCCCCAAAAAAGGTGGCTGAGTTAAACATATGCAAGTCATTCGCAGAAACAAAACTGTAATAGAGACCTTTCCTCTCGAAGTGGTCACGTCTAACCCTATTGATAACATAATGAACATAGCACGCATCGTCTGATTGGTCGGTTCAGTTTCCAGGCGGATACTTTTTTCAGATTATAGAGTCGGCAGAGCCGGCATGTAACTAGTTATAAAAGTAACAGCACGCATTTTTCCGGGCTCTATAACGTGATAAAGCCACATGGGATGTTGGGATAACACTCAGAAAGCTTATAGGTCCGAGTTGATTTGGTTATAGAGCCCGGAAAAAAAGATTTTTAACCAGCTATTCCCCTACCTTTTCTACATCTTTCTTGTGTCTGGTGAGCAGATGAAATGTTCTTTCGTACGCTTTGTTGATGACTTCTCTGGCTTGTTCGTCTATGAGCTGTGCAGTCGCTTCGCTGTAGGGTTTATCAAAAGTGGGTTCTCCCTCGCGAGGTAAATCAAAAGACACGTTTCCAACCTTTTCATTCATTCCAAAGGTCACAACCTGAAGGCAAGTAAAACAATTTCAACGTAAATGTCGAAGGAAGGAATATTAATCTCGGCTAAGATTGCATTACTGGGAGAAGATAAATTTTCAGCAAGGTGCCCGTTTTGTGTTAAAATTTGAAACTTTCCAACGAAAAAAGACCAATTTGTGTCCCCACAGGAGAGCCGATGGAAAATACACACGAGCCAAAATATCAAACTGTGCTCCGACGCCAACTTAAACAAGTCTTAAGTAAGACGCGTCATCTTTCTGATATTGATGGCGTTTCAACTAGCCCTTTCAATATGAAGAATTCAAAATTCAAAATTCAAAAGAAATTCAGCGAGTTTTAAACGCTTGGCCGCGATTTTAACGCGTTATTTACCTGCGCATAAGCACTCTTGGTAACTTTACTGAGATCGTCCTGCGCACCGGTAGTGATCCGTCCAAAGAAAATCTGTTCGGAAACCCTTCCTCCCAAAGTCATACACATGCGGTCTAACAGCTAAGACAAACACAAAAAAAGCAACAACAACCATCAGCCTGATATCGAACGCTGTAAAGTCATACACATGCGGTCTAACAGCTAAGACAAACACAAAAAAGCAACAACAACNTCATCTTTCTGATATTGATGGCGTTTCAACTAGCCCTTTCAATATGAAGAATTCAAAATTCAAAATTCAAAAGAAATTCAGCGAGTTTTAAACGCTTGGCCGCGATTTTAACGCGTTATTTACCTGCGCATAAGCACTCTTGGTAACTTTACTGAGATCGTCCTGCGCACCGGTAGTGATCCGTCCAAAGAAAATCTGTTCGGAAACCCTTCCTCCCAAAGTCATACACATGCGGTCTAACAGCTAAGACAAACACAAAAAAAGCAACAACAACCATCAGCCTGATATCGAACGCTGTAAAGTCATACACATGCGGTCTAACAGCTAAGACAAACACAAAAAAGCAACAACTACCATCAGCCTGATATCGAATGCTGTAAAACTAAGATTTACTAAGGTAGTATTTTCAAATGATTTTTGGAAGGAAATCGGTGGCTAAGGTGTCGCTGAGTTGAGAAGCGCGCTGTTGTGTGATTCACAGAGTAAAAGAACAAGATCTTTTCACATTTGAGTGTGAGATCCCCAGACAACAACAAACTCGATACCATTGTGCTGTGGACGTTACCTGTTCGGTAGAGTAAAGGTATTGTTCCTTGGGGAGATACTGCGCATAGCCGAGACCCTTGCCTCTTGGAATTATTGAAACCTGAAAATGGACGCGAAATTTACTTCACAGTTCAGTAGCTAAGTATAGGAATATATGGGGAGCCATAACCCTTAACAATTACCAAGAACCAAAAGACTCTCGAAATATCTCAATAGCACCACGCTACGCAGAATTTAATAATGCTTGTTTTAGAATTTTATCCACAGCCTTCAAGGTGATAAACACTTTGCCTAGCAGCCGATGACCTCTACAGAGGGATCAGCATCAATTCATTCGGTGCACACCACAAAAAGAAAATTTGTAGACCTTAACTTCCTACAGAGTCTGGTTTGGAAATTATCACTGAAAGAAGTTGAAATAAGAGTGAAGATTTTCTAAGCAAACCTTTAGAAGAGGATCAGCATGTTCAAGAAACCATCCGGCCACTGCATGACCCGCTTCATGGTACGCCACAACTTTCTTTTCCTCCGGCTGTAAAACTTGAGTTTTTTTCTCCAGACCTGTAACAAATGAGAGAATGGTATTTCACGTAAAATTGAAACAAATTTCTATGGAGATCATTCCAACTGGATGGCATGCTCTAGTGCAAACAAAGAGATAAAATACATGTATCTGTGTAATCCTGGATGTCTCAAACAGTAGCGGCCACAGGAATAGCAGCATTACAAGCGCGTTTCATGCGTGTAAATCCGCCATATTGCGCGCAATTTACACGCAAATTATGGACGCGTTACATGCGAGAAAAAGAAATAAACTAAACTGCACTGCGGCATGTAGAGCTTGCGTTTCCGGGCGCGGTTCAGCCCGACCCAGACCCTTATCAGGAAGAGAATTTACGCGAGAGGGCGTGTGAGAAAACAAAGGAGTCTGAAAATAAACATTGTGCGCATCTTTACTTTCCAACTTTATTCTTCCCGTACGCACTAAATTATGAGGAAGGACTTGTGCAGAGTATCACTGCAATCACACCACAGATATCGCGCATCACCATGTATTTCAAAACATTTTCTCATAGCCCCAGAAAGCTCGAGATGATTCAACACGACTATGAATATTTTTGGGTGTGCCCTGATGAACTGTGTAGCAGCACTATCTTCACTCACCTCCAATAACGCGCTCAATGGCTTGTTCAAAATGCGTCAACTCCACCTTTGGCATAAGATGCCTCGCAGCAATGAGGGCAGCCTCGTTACAAACATTTGCAATGTCAGCTCCTGAAATTATTTCCACACTTATTATAAAGAGGATTGTAAGGATCGACAAGAGGGTTCATCTTCAGTTCTGAGTTAAGTGTATCAAGGAGAAATAGCTCAGAGGCCAACCTGTAAATCCTGGAGTGAGAGCCGCCATTTTTCGTGCAACTTGATCGAGATTCAGCTCTGTCTTCAGAGGCTTCAAGTGCACTTTGAAAATAGAACATCTACAAAGAGTATTATTAAAAACAAATTAAAAAGTTCAGTTTCCTTTAAGTCCAAATGAGCTCTATGCAGGGTTTATACACCTTTATCAGTACATGCATTTTCTCCAGCCGAGAGAAAGAAAACGCCAGGCGACCGCGACGAAACCGCAAAGAGAATGCGTGACGACCGCGAGGGGAAAGTAACGCTTTCTCACTGGTGAGTGACTCACCCATTTTGCTCCCCTCACGCTTGTATCCACTGGTAGGGTAAACACAAACGAGAGAACTGACCTGCAAGCGAAACAAGTTTTGTGACTTACCTTCCCTTGATATCCGGTGGCGGCAGATGAATCTGTCTGTCAAACCGGCCAGGTCTTAGCAGAGCAGGATCGAGGATATCAGGTCTGTTGGTACCAGATAGTACCACTACATTTGTTGATGAACTGAAACCTTTGGTAGAAAACAATATTTGTATTACACAAACATATTGTGATTAAATTCCAAAGAAACAGCTAAAAAAGTAATGTTTATCTAGACAGCAAATGGGTAAAAAGACAGGTAATATAGACAGTAGTAAAGCTATCCTTTTCTCCTTAGTTTGAAAACCAAACTTTAATCTCTTTTCTCCAATTAGAAATTTTGGACTCCCTTTTAAACAACTTGAACTTGAAACCCAAAAGTACTGACTTACATGAAAAATACATTGTACATCTTCTTTCATTAAATGCGATACTTGAACTTATTAGTTTGCAGTTTCCTTTTTCCCAGTTTTCCAAAATATTTTCATTTTATTCTAATACAGTGTCCTCTGAATTGGACTTAAAGCCAGTTGAATATTTATAAAACGTCATTAATTGTACAATAGTGCAGTCTGCAAAGTAGTGCAGATCCATCAAACACACTGTTCCCTTGAAATAACAAAATTAATTCGTAATAATTATACTTCTGCCACTCACTTACCATCCATTTCCACTAGAAGTTGATTAAGGGTGTTCTCCCGTTCGTCGTGCCCACCAATGTGACCTCCCCGGCCGCGAGCACGGCCCACAGCATCAATCTCATCAATAAATATTATACAGGGTGCATTCTTTCTGGCTTGGGTGAACAGATCTCTTACTCTGGCTGGCCCAACTCCTACAAACATTTCCAAAAACTCTGATCCTGAAATACTGAGAAAAGGAACTCTGGCCTCTCCAGCCACTGCCTTGGCTAACAGAGTTTTGCCTGTACCTGGTGGCCCTGATAATATAGCGCCCTGTGAGACAAGAAAACAAATATCAGTTGTTCTTGTAGGTAACAGATATCTGGGAGAGATGCTGTGGTCTGGACTCCTGATTTAGAGGACTTGGTTCCAGTCCTAATCGGGTCAATGCGTTATGTTTTTAGGCAATTTGTATTTACTTCGAGGGCCACTAGGTTATCAGTTTAGTTACTGTCAAATGTCACCCTCTCCAGTAAAGTCTACTTACAAAAGTCTACTTATAATGAACATCACTCTGACAGTGTGCCTATCCACCAAAAACTATGAAAGGAAACTTACAATGGTGTGTTACAATTGAGCCCTATGCAGTGTCCTTGACTTGGCTTAAAATAAATTCTGTATGTAGCTTTATGGCTGGAAATGGGTTCAGCACAAATGACTTTTTAATACTTAAACCTCTTGGCTGTTGGACAGAAGCTTTATGAATCAAGTACCTTAGGTATTCTGGCACCCAGCTCATGATACTGTTGAGGATTTTTAAGGAAATTCACAAATTCCATAATTTCCAGCTTAGCTTCCTCACATCCTGCAACATCCCTACAAACAGCACAACATAATGATGCATGCAATAAATAAAAACTATTGTGACTATTATTCTTCTCATCCTAAATGCCCAAAAGCACACATGTTAGACAGACACCAAATGAATGCATTCTCCTACAGCTGTGGCAGTTGAGTGCTGCAGAGCTTCTCTTGAATTGTTCACCAAACATCAAGCTACATATAGATTAGTTGACAGATGAAAGTTCTTTCAATCAATCTGCATCTACCCTGCTCCTGCCCTTTTCAAGTAATAACCATTTTTGTCCACTAGCTCCATTCAATTGTCAACTTTTGCCTAGCTGTGTAATAAATGTACTTGCACAAACTCGACAGTTCAGGGAAGAGTAAACACAAACCAGGTTACATACAAAACAATATGCCACTTTGCTAATACAGTATACTGCATCCAAATGAATGCTGGGATTGGCCAAGCCAATGCCAGGTCACTCAAGGGGCATGTTGTTTCATGCAGCATGATTTCTCTTGTTGCTGTACGAGATGCAGAGCCAAAAAAAGCTTCTCAATTTCTCTTCAAGTTGTGTGTTTACAAACCTTTTTTCTTTCCATGATGAGCCAAGGAAATCTTTGATCTATGTGGGAATGTGAAAATGACCATAGACATCCTCAGAGGTACAAAATTTTAGTGAAAATCTTTTACTAACAATCTGTAGGTTTGCGCTGAAGTCTTTAATAAGTTTTTACCTCTTCTGTTCCATTCCAATTAAGGTAGACCTTTTGGAGCCTAATTGAAAACTACATATTCCACAAATAATTGAAATTTAAGACTTAAAGCAAAGGAATTGCCACATTGACTGGAGTAACGAAAGATGTAATTCTCAAAAGCTCAAGGACCACAACAGCCAGTAAACGTAAACAGAGCTTGCTGACTTCAAGGGAGGCTTTGCAACATTTTAGCTATTATTTGGACTGGTAAATTTTATTTTAAGTGTCCATATGCTCTTAAAGTTTTGTTCCATAAAAGATTTTGTCTTTAAATTACTCAACTTTCAGAATTTTTAACACAATGCTATGCAATTTTATGGACATGAAGTTATGTAAACAATGACTGGAATATATCACCTCGGTCTTGTAAATGCAAGAGATTTGTTCGTTTTTACTTCTGATCAGTCTGTTTTAGCTCTTCTTTGAATAAAGGGATACTTCTCAGTTATTTTCCTTGCATTTTATCGATAATTTTGGTAAAGAGGGTATGTTATACAGTTTGTATTCTTGTGAGTTTATATTCCCTTGCTTTGATAATTGTCTGGTAATCCCAACAAATCAGCATATTGACATTTAAATGTTTATTCCTGGGGAAACCTTGGGAGTAAAGCTATCAAGTGACTTCCACTGAAAATCAGACAAAGAAAAAAGAACAGGTGGGATTGTATATCAAAAGTGTAATGGAAACTGAAGATTTCATGAAAAAAATGTTGCCATGAAATGTAAATGACAGATTTTGTTCAATTTACATAACTTACAGGATATCTTCGGTTAGGATGTTCTCCTTGGCCCATCATAGAGAAAAGGTTGCAAACATAAACCTTTCAAGACATTTTTTAAGCTTTTTGAGACTAAACAAAAATGATCGAGGCTGCGTGAAACAGAATGGAAGGGAAAGCATAAGAACTTATTGTGGACTTCAGCACAAACCCACACATTGTAAACAAAAGGTTTTCATTCAAATTTCGTACCTTTCAGGATGTCTACAGTCATTTTCACATTCCCACATAGATAAATGATCACCTTGACCCATCATAAAAAGCAGAAAAGTTTACAAACAGGCAAATCTAAAGGAATTTGTGAAGCTTTTGGACTCTGCATCTCATACAACAACAACAAAGATAGAGGCAGCACAAAGCAACATGCCCCTTGGGCGAACTGGCACTGGCTCAGCCAATCCCAGCATTCATTCTGACCCCTGTATTAGTAAAGTTGTGTACTGATAATTGATGCATGCCCGATGACAAGGACGGTTTGTACATACTTGAATCTGACTTTGACACTTGTTTCTTTATTGTAGAGTTTTGCTTTTGACTGCCCAACACCAAATATACCCTGTGTTACACAAAAAGGTGAAAAGGAACAAATCAATAAAAGCAACATACATCTCAATGGAAAATTTGTATTGGCTTGGTATCTAGTTGGAAATTTTGTATTGGCATGGTATGCTACACGTTAAAAAAAAAAAAAAATTTATCTAAATGGCTCAAGGTTGCACATAAAAACCAGCTGACCCCCTGTCCTCTGCTGCCACTGGAAAGTTTCCTACTGAAGTAAATTATGACACCAATGATCAGAAGTGATGGAGCTGCCTTAATGATCTCCTTCCTATGAAGAAAAAACAAAACAAAAGTAAATCATTCAATAAAGTTTATCCTCCCTTTCAATGGCCAAGACCTTGCCATGGGACCTGCAAACAGCTGACACAAATGACAGTCTATTCATGTGTAATGAATGTACATGAAGTTAGTGTGTTGGTTTACCACATTCATAGTGATTAGGTACTTTGTCTGAGTGAGCCTGAGCTAGAGTGTTGGTTTACCACATTCATAGTGATTAGGTACTTTGTCTGAGTGAGCCTGAGCTAGAGTGTTGGTTTACCACATTCATAGTGATTAGGTACCTTGTCTGAGTGAGCCTGAGTTAGAGTGTTGGTTTACCACATTCATAGTGATTAGGTACCTTGTCTGAGTGAGCCTGAGTTAGAGTGTTGGTTTACCACATTCATAGTGATTAGGTACCTTGTCTGAGTGAGCCTGAGTTAGAGTGTTGGTTTACCACATTCATAGTGATTAGGTACCTTGTCTGAGTGAGCCTGAGTTAGAGTGTTGGTTTACCACATTCATAGTGATTAGGTACCTTGTCTGAGTGAGCCTGAGTTAGAGTGTTGGTTTACCACATTCATAGTGATTAGGTACCTTGTCTGAGTGAGCCTGAGTTAGAGTGTTGGTTTACCACATTCATAGTGATTAGGTACCTTGTCTGAGTGAGCCTTCTAAGAGCTTGTATTTGATGTGTTGAGCGGCCACTGTGAATGCAGGAGATAGAAACTAAGATAACGAAGACGATTTTCGGAGAAGTAAAGGTTGCTTCACTTCACATTTAAAAGAAATATTCAACCGATATGAAATCTTGCGACGGCGAAAAAAGAAGAACTCAAGTGAAGGATAATCTACCTGAAGTGGAAGAAGACTTTGAAACTTCAAGGAAAATAATATGATATAGCCAGAAGTCATGTGTAGGATTTTTAAGATGAGCTCGGGAGGCTGTCTTTGACGGCTGCTTAATGATTTTCTTAGCAGTAAACGTCTGTAAACATCAGATCATAGGTGCTCGCGCGAGCACACGCAATTGTCAGCGGTAGCTAAAACAGATCATGAGCAAATGTCGATCTTATAAAATCCAAATTTTTAAATGTGCGAGAACGCGTGTGGAAATTGCTAAACTCACGAAAGCTATTGCATGAAAACAAGTCCGGTGACCCCTTCTTTTTATTGTTCCGATATGATAATAACGTCGAAAGGAATCATCAGAAAAAAAAATAGAAAAATTCTACGGAAGGAAATTTGCGATGTGTGAAAATTGCCCTTTTTGTAGATTTTCTGAAATTCCGCTCCGTAGAATTTTTTAAAAATCTATGTGCATTTTCCTTTTCAAGTGCCAAAAGCAATCAATCACTGAAAAAAATCAGGGGGTCACCAGGTTAGTTTTCGAATTATTTAAGCCACAAGCTAAAAAATGCATCTAAGAAAGCCTAGGAAAGCATTGCCATGGAAACTGCTTGTGACGAAATAACACTTATTTTTGGATAACCAATGATTATGTAATTCAACCCCATAAAAGTGTTCAACTGGCCCTGGTCAGTCTTTCTGTTGTATTCTTTCAAAGTTACAAACCATCAAAAAGATGAAAACCGGTACGAGCCACCTTAATTTCTTCATCAAAACCCTGAAAGACTAGTACAAACTCTACCTTATTGGGGTCATTCTTCAGAAAAACTTTCACAAGACTTTGGTTTGACACCACAAGTTTTTCCACCTAGGGGGGAAAAGCAAAAATGAATATGGAAGTGTTACTTATAAAATCCGTGCATTAATTACATGTAATTTATGTAAATTTTAAATACCTGGACTCTTTGTGCACATGTATAATTGGCACAGTCTAAAAGATATTTAACAATTATTCCATGAGTGCGCGTTGGATATGAGATGATAGATAGCCAACGAGGTGCATAGCACCGAGTTGGCTATAATCATCTTATATCCAACTAGCGCGAGTGGAATAATTGTTTTATTAAAAACACCCGTAAGATATTAGACAAATTTTGCCAAATCTTAAATTTTTTAGCTCCCTTTTAATTCTAAGCTGACGCGTACGCTTGCCATATTTGTAGATTATGGTATATTGGCTCATATACCATAATGGCTAAGCCAATAAAAAGTCTTGAATTGCATTATCCAATGATCCAGTTTTTCATAATACCAATTATTCCTCCAGGAACATCAACAACAAGTAAAATGATATGGATCATGGTTTTTGGAAGTTTATTTTTTTCCTAATAATAATAATAATAATAATCACGGTGGTCACGGGAGCTGGATGTCATGATGCGCGAGCTGGTGGGAGGCAGAAGCACAGACGTACTGCGAAAGATGCAGAGGGCAGTGCTCTCGGGCACGCTGAATATTGCCCGGACTTTCAAGGTGGCAGTTTGACTTTCTGTTAGAAGGAGGACCGTAGACACAACAGAAAAGCTTTTTAGGATTAGTTAATTATTAATGTACATTTATTTTTTTACTCCATGGCTCACAGGTTACGGTTTTCGCCCTGTGCTGCCTGATTAGAATGTAGCAATCAGTTGATTTCTCTGCGACATAATAATATATATCCATTTCTATAGCGCATTTCCATGTAAATGCTCCAATGTGCTTTACAACACTGTGCAGAGGACTTTTCCAGACTGCTGGCAGCAGTTAACAATAAATAAAGGAGAAATTTTACAGATGCCCCCTCCCCCCATCCCCAGTAACCGGGCCAGACCACATCACAGTAATCTTGTGATATGGGTTCTTTAACGTCCCCTGCCGAAATTAACTGATTGATAGGTGCAGGAGACGGGACCTCCGGCTTTACATCCTATCCGAGAAGACGAAGCAATGTGAGTGAAGCATCTTGCTTAAGGACACAACATCAAGCCCCAGCCAGGACTTGAACCTGGGCCATCTGACTCAGAGTCCAGCACACTGACCACTGGACTACTCACGCCTTGACAATCAGTCTAATTCCTCTTTTCCTTTGTTGTAGATTGTGGTGGTTGTATACAAGACAAAGGAAAAGAGAAATCAAAACTGGTTCGAAACTTTTAAACCTGGAATAAATACAACCATGACACACATTAATTTTTGTCCATGCATCATTAGAATTTTGCCAGCATTTTGACAATGGGAAAGAGCTTGAATTGTCAGCTGAAGAAACTGAGAAATGAATTCTAGATGTAATTTTCAAAGGTTAAAAGACACAAAATCTTACCTCTCCCCTTTCAAGATATTTTGTTCTGAACTCTTGCCAGTTGATTTCTCTGGTGTCCCTCTCAGACATCAGGAACAGCAATGCTAAGACTGCAGCTACTGCACCACCAATCAAGGCCTGTGGATTATTTTCAAACAGGTTCTTCCACCAATCATCGCCAGGTGGTTTGCCACTGCTCCCTCCTCCTCCTACGCCCCCTCCATCATCACCCCCTGATGCTTCCTTCTTGTTCACGTTGGAGTTCTTTTCCTCACTGGAACCTGTTGCAATGATCAAAGATACATGGACAGTGTATAGCAAAGTAGCAGGTATTTTAAAATGAAATTAAGCATTCAACATTTCATTAACATTTCTATTTCCTTTAAGTCTGCTTGTCTGTACCCAAAACTGCGTTACCCATGCACAACAATCATTGTAAACAAGCAGGCAGATGGGCAAACTGAAGATCAATTTTAAATTTTGACTTAACTATTACCTTAACCTATACAATGAATATTTTGGACATACATGTAGAGAACAATACATAGATATGGAATTAATCCTCGAGTGTTCAACTAGAATATCACTCACAAGTGAGTGTAGCAAACTGATGAGATATCAATAAAGGCTGATAGTTTCTAAAGAAACTGTTTGGGGCTGCGTCGGTTGGGGTAACGAAATAATTTGAATATATCAACAAAGTTGAAATGGTAAATTGGCCACCGTTATGATTATAAAAGCTGATGTTTGGAGCATTAGCCCTTTGTCAGAGCGAATGAGCTAATGCTCGAAACGTCAGCTTTTATAATCGTAACAGTGGCCAATTTACCATTTCAACTTTGTTGATATATTCAAATTATGATGAGATATCAAGTCAAACATTTTTTCTCAGGGCTAGAAATCCCAGTAAAACACAGCAGTATACATAATAAAATACAGCATTGTTGACTAGGTAAAACAGTTGAAAGAAAGGTTTCAAGAGTAATTCAAAATACCAAGCCAGAGATTGCTACAAATTATATACTAAATATGTAATTAAGGCTATGGCTAGATTGCAGAATACCACTCATTTACATGTCACTGAATAAGAATAGCCTCTATTGTGTTATGCTTCGTTCTTCAAAGCCTCCCGACACAGGTAAATGAGGTGGCCGGGTACTCTGCAATTGCTCCAAGGCTACAAATTGCATAAGAATGACCTGATCTTACCTTTATTTGAAGTCTTCTTTGAAGCATTTGGATAAAATTTTTCAAATCCTTCAAAGAATAGGGAGAGATACAAACAAGATCGCACCATATTCAATGACTGAAAATTAAAGAATCACACAGACAATTGACAATAAGTGAAGCAAACTGCTTAACATATACTTGTACATGTTCACAAAAGCAATGAAGGTTGAAATTTGAAATATTGCGATCCAACGATCCAACGATAAACAATGAAATTCGTGAAGATGAATGTGCTCAAGAGGCCCACTGTCGTCAAGCTGAAGTTATTATCCGAACTAATGTTCAATTTAGTGATCTAATTTGCTACTAGTCTTCTTAAATTTTTACTTGAGGGTTTTTCTCTCGAAATGATGTCTAGTTTCCAACTAAATTTGTGAGAGATCTAGAGGCTCTCACAATTTCATTTCAATGACATAAATTTTAATATATATAATTTTAGGTCATCGATCACGTCTAAATCCAAAAAAGTTGAAAGCAAATCAAGATTACACAAATTTAGAACGATCCCTACAACATGTCAAATTTACCCTTTGGTGGATCAAAATTCAGAATTCTTCCAAGTAACCAAGAGTTCCTTGCATTGTGACTCAGCAGTAGTTGTTTTGCTCCAAACGAGTACCGCGACGACAACTGCAATAAAACGAGCGATCGTTCTTACAAAATAATCAAGGAAACCTACTTTGCGGCACTAGTGCAACTACTGTGCTCACAAGTCGATATGTAATTCTACTTCAGGCCTGACACAAGGGAAAAAGCTACATACACGAAACAAAAACCTGTGTCGAACTGTTTACGTAACGTACCTGGGGATGTGAAAGTCTCAGAGTTGCCCGAGTTAACAAGGAGCTGACTCCTCGTGAACATAACTTGTACGTCATTGCTTCAAAAGGCCAGTTATTTGAAACTTTTGGAACGAAATGTTATAAACATACTAAAATAAAACCCAACGTGTACCGTTCACTAAAAGCGTTTTGATGACATATTGTCTTATGCAACTCACGATTCAAGATGGCGGATATAACACTACAGGCGCGGTCGCAATTCCGATAGTGTTCATTTTGCTTTGAGAGGGACTAGGGAGGGGAGAGTGTTCTTCTATTTTCTGTGAGGAGAAATCAGCGGGGCCGCGGGGATAAGATCAGTTATGTGTTGCGCCAGGTTTACTGTACGTTCTTACAAAGCAGAATAGTATTAAAAACCGAAGCGATCCGAACAAACTAAAAGCTACGAAACCTTGAACCCTGTAAATTTCCCGTCAGAAATATTTGCATTCTTGGATTCGTACCTAACACTATAGCTATTAGTCTATATCTCAGTTCTGATTGCTTAAAAGGGACTACTTTGTTGCTTCATGCCCACAGACAAATAATAAATTATCGTAATGAGCTGGCGTTATACAGAAAAATCTCGATATGTCATATCCAAGTTCAATAACCATTTTGTCCTTCATTCACTGACGAATGTTTTTCAATCCATGATTATTTTCTGGAATTTCATCATGCACGGTTCAAAGTAATTTTTTTAAATTTCTCATTCCGGTTTCTGAGAACCTCTACAAAACTTTAAATTTTTTCTGTCTTGTATTGTTTTTAGGTCGTATAAGATAAATATGTTGCAAGATTATTGTAAAAAAATAGGTTGTACGGTTTTTATACTCAATGTTTATCATTTTAAATTGATCCTTTGTCAGTGTTCATCTTCCGGTCCTTGAGAACAATGAAAACACTTGCTTTTGGAGCTCTTGGTCAGAGTTAAACTCATATATATATATATATATATATACCAATCAAATTGCAAGGCAGTCACTATGGCCTTTTGAAAGGTCAATATGATAGGCTGAGACAAATCCTGCCTTGAAGGGTATTTACGTATTAGTGCTAGAATTTGAAGGACCGGGCAATTATTTCAAGGCCTGAGGCGCGAGAATTCGTGCGCCTGCGCGAAACTTGCGCGCGTTATCTTCGCCTGGCGCCTGTTATACTTTTTCCCAGAGCCACTCGTTTTCATTCGTAAGCAAATATAATGATGACTCTGGGAACGAGAATGGGTGCTTGTTATGCAGACCCGCAATACGACACCATCATGAACAGAACGTTGGAGAAACGTTGGGTCAGACGAAATTACGACCTTAGGACGGGGAATATGTTTACAGAACCGAATGCAACAAAAGCTAACAGTGCTGGGATTTATTTCATCATCAAAGGATACAAGGAAAACAGGAATCGTACTGATAACACATTATCAGATGTTCCTACAGCCTGACTTATCCACAAGTTCTAATCAAGTCTACCGACGACAAAGGACATCTCCAGCCGAAAAAAGAGAGAAGTTCTGTGCGCCGGCGCAAACAAGAATATTTGTAACATGACTAATATTGCATATGCCTTACTCATGAATGTCAAAGCTACTCTTTGTCCTGGTAACAATCAGTAATTTCAAATCTTTGATCCTGAGTTTTTCGCAGTCGGTCGTGAGATTCTGACAGGTAAGATTACTCATCATGATTTAGAAAATATTTTTTTCCTAATTACTTTCCTGGGGTGTATTACTTTCCTGAGGTGTATACTAAGCGTAAGATACGATTATGCGTGTGAACGAACGCAAATAGGCTAAATTACTAGCGGCCCAGACTTCGTATTTGTGCTGGCAACGTTTGCAGCCGTTTTCACACTGTTTAGGAAAATGATGTAAATATAGTTACCTTATGTTCGACTTGTCCTTCTTCTGTCTGCGTGTCTTCTGAGTCAGTTTAAACCATCTAGGTAAGTAAAGGGGTTGTACTTTTTCTAAAACGCGCCGATCATCGTTCTTGTCTGGTTCAAGAAAAAACTCCCACTGATAGTTTAATTTGCGTCAGTGGTCTCAGATCGATCTAAGGAACACACAGACAGCAAAATGATACAAGGTAGTTAAAAAACATAAGATGACCATTTTGATTTCCTCTTTTTTTTTTTTTTTTTGTTTTTTTTTGTTTTGTTTTGTTTTGTTTTGTTTTGTTTTTTTATATTGTTACCAGACGCTGTGTTCGACTAAGTTTTCAAAGCATTCACCCAAACTTTCTTCTAGACGACTGAAAAGGTCGCTCGTATTTTTTGCCAAAATTTCCCGGCCAAGCTTTTCTAACTACTCCGTCAGGAATTTGATATGAGATACTGAACACGATTTCTGTTGCAAAGGTCAGGACACAGTCATGCGAAAGATATTTTTTTTTCAAAACAAGATACTAGCCGTCTTTGTTCTACCTTTGTTTTCTCAAACCCTTCCGTCCGTATTGCTTCGTCTGTGATGTTTCCTAAACGAGAGGGAAACCGCCTTCGCGGCACCTTTTACCTCACATTTCGTTCGTATTGCTCGGTCAGTAGTATTTAATAGACAAGTCACAAACTGCCATGTTTGTTTCTGTTTTCAACATAAGCCACATACCACTGTCTGTATCCAGCTAAACACGCGACCATCCCAAACCATTGCCACATTGAAAAAGGGAAAATATTTACGGTGACCAATTCGCATTATCAACTTAGTTGATAAAACCAAATTACCTTGTTAAACTCTCCCACCGACGCAGCAGCACAGTTTCTTTAGAAACTTACCACCTTTATTCACTGCTTGCATCGGCTTATATCCAAAACGATATTTTAGTTCGCAATGTCATATGCAAATCATAGGTAAAGACCAGCGTAATGGGCTCCTGGTAAAGACTGTCTTATCCAGAAAACCTGTTGTGTATACGACTTATATCACTGGATTCAGAAAAATATTGACGAAATCGCCAATAATTGATAAAATTCAGGAAAATCTCCGAGAACTCGCACAAGATATTTGTCACCTGACGCTTTCTTTACGGCCAGTTTAGAATTTCAATCGTGGATTTCTGACCACGAACTGCGGAATGGGGTGTAAATGCGGCACTGCAGACAAATTATTTCATTACTTCGATCCCTCAGCAAGCGGCAGGCGACCCGCACATTAAAAATTTTTGAAAGAGCGAAGGAATATTTCCGCCAAACGTTTCGAAAACCTTTTAAAACAAAGGCATTTGCAAGATTGACACCTCCATTCAAGGAAAGAAAGACCGTTTGGTCAACTCTGATAGATGTTCATGTAATACTATTGCACGCAAAGTCAAGGTCAAGCTAAGAAGCAGTTCCTCCCACACAATATCTTAAAGCACTTTGACCGAAATTAAGTGATGTTAGTCCGCAAGAAAACTTCGTTAATTCTCTACAAAAGAATGCAAGCCACAGTCCATTTTGTAGCAAGGCAGTGGTCCATCCTTTTCATCCTAGGCTGTAGTGCTCGGTTCAAAATCCGTGCAATAAAATCCATATTTTACAAAAACCGTTTGACAAACATCATGCGCAGTACCCCATCACTACACGGCATTCATGTGACAAAACACTTTTCCAGATTTCATGCATTTTTCACTTTTTTTGGCAATTTGGAAAACTTTTTTTAGTTCCGGTCCGATATTTATTTGATATTAATGGTCCTTTTTTTTTATCAGATATGACAAACTACTTTTGAATGGTTTTTTCACACCTTCCATGATAAATATTTCTTTGGGATTTCGAATAACATTCGGGATAGGATCGCTCAGCTCCCGTTAAAACCGGTTCAAACAGCAACAACAATTTTTTTTTTATTCTTAGATCTTTTTTCATAAAATAAAATTGGGATAGTTTGCCCCGCAAATAGCTAGAAAGCTAATCGTAGCGGGGCAAGACAAGTACCTGAATAACATAAATCGTCGTGTATCTAAGGACAAGGAGTCGTTATTTACACAGTCACACAGTTACAGAGTCACACAGAAAAAGATAAACTTAGAGGGTGTATCTATGTGCCTACTTTTTTAATTATCATGGGGATTTGAATAGAGTTATCTTCTTAAATGAGGGTGGATTAATGACTTATAGATATTCAATAGTATTTGTCGAGGTACAGAGTGACGTAGCTTTGCAAGTAGCCCAACATTTTTACTATTTTTGTAACAATAGAATAAATGTGGTATTTCTAAGAGAGATTCTGATCAATAAGAACGCCCAGATATTTTATGTAAACTTTAGACTCGAGACGAACATAATTATTCTTTTCGTCATGAAAAATGGAGAGTTTTGGTTGGTAAGCCAGTCCCTTTTGGTAGGGATGAAAAATTACAAAGTTGGAGTTTTTGGTGTTAAGAGTTAGTTTGTTGGCTGTCAACCAGTTATAAAGGTTTTGTAACTCGTTGTTGACTATTATTTCAAGGTCTTTCAGATTTTTCTCCGCATACAAAATGTTAGTGTCGTATTCAGAGAGGTAAAACCTAAATTTATGCGAGCATCTGTGGATATCATTGACATATAGCAAGAAAACTAATGGTCCAAGAATTGATCCTTGAGTAACACCACATCTAACGACAGCTTTATCTGAAATACGATGGCCCACCAGCGTTGTTTGCATGCGATTTTGTAAGATATGAGGAGAACCAATCATTAATTAATCCACGAAAGCCACAGTGATTGATTTTATCAAGCAAAATGTCGTGATCGACGGTGTCGAAAGCTTTCTGAGATCAATGAATATTCCACAAAATAGCAATCGTTTATTCATGTTTGCCTGTAGATCATTAGTAATGTCCAATATTGCGTGTTGGGTTCAATGCCCCTTACGAAAGCCGTATTGCGAGGAATACAAAAGTTCTTGTTTGTTTATGTAGCTCGACAATCTATTAAAAATTATCTTCTCTCATACTCTGTTAAAGTTTGAAAGTAAAGAGATAGGTTTGTAGCTGTTTGCGTCAGTATCATTGTTACTCTAAAATACTGGTGTAATTTCAGCAATGGATGGATAAAACTTTGTCCCTAATCTGATCGATGTATTAAGTATCTCTGAATAGACAGGAGCTATGACGGTACTCGAACATTTGAATAATTTCGTTGGTGAGGAGTACAAACCATGAGATTTATCATTCGGTACAATTTCTGACAGTAATTCTTCGGGTAAAACAGGTTGAAAAAAGAAGGATGAAGTTCATTTAGATTTTGACAAAAGGAAAACCAAATCGCTTTCTCTGTTTTGTCGAATTACAAAACCAGCCAGCGTTTCGGGCGAAAAAATTCGAGAACGTGAAGGATATTCGGTCGGAGCTAGGAAAACTTACCTCTCATTTTCCAGGATCACGTTTCATGTTTGAAAAGTCGAATTATCATCTCCTTTGTACGTCAGCCTTGAAGGTTATCAAAAATATCTTTCTACACATCTGCGATCATTCACGTGAATCCACAAACAAATTTGTAACAGAATACCGTGGCGCGCTATTGAATTAAATTTTCATGTTTGTCTCTGCGCGATCATCCTCAACGGGGCTGCATTTTCAAGTTAAGCCGGAGGTGATGAAAAGGCAACAGCATTTTTTGACTGGATATACGTAATTATCCAGTCACATTCTTCAATTACATTCACTATTGTTTTTAAAAAGGATTATGCCAAGACACATTTATCCACCACTGAGTATGACTGAAATAAGTCTCTTTCCAGCAACAAAACCTTCCGCACATGTGACAATACTACTGACCATGTACATCTTATCCTTCCTTGGCCAAATATTTGACATGATGAATAGTGTTGAAGTTTATTTGAAGCCTGAATGAATTCACTCTTCGAAGGGATTCGACCCCGTGCCTTTCGGACACTAAATAAGTGATAATACCAACTTTGCTACGAAGCCACATGTTTGCAACGAGGCAAGTTTAAAAAGGCCCCTCCAACAACGACGCTCGACCCAGGCCTAATTTCAGTAATGAGCACACGTTGTCTAACAGTAGCATTTTAATTCAGTGATAATGTCCATGTTCGCGCAAAGCCTTTAGCTATTGTTATAGGGAGCTTCGAGCCTCAAATCCCATCGGGGCCAGAATGTTTTCAGGCTCTCATTTAATCACATTTAGTATGGGGCTTTCAGTCAAGAAAAATGGACAGATTCTGATTAAAAAAAAAAAAAGGTATCCGTAGGAAGGTGAAGTTTGGAGATCAGACTTGCACTTATGTTGTAATCAAATCAAATAAGGAAGGTTGAAATTTTTAAATTAGTGCAGATGCCGTATTAATGTTGACAAAGTCGACAGTTCCAGGTCTCGTAAAACAGAAAATTGAGCTTTGTTCGATTGATTTTGAAATCTTTTTTAGCATCCGAAGATCAGCAAAACCAGCTGTCAACATAGTGCTCGAGGGGGTGATTCAGAATGTCGCTTGCATTTGCACGACCAAAACAGTTTGACGTTTGAAAGAGGGGGATCGGAGGATCAGGGGGTTGTTTCGAGCTTTTGTTCATGGTTCGCCAAAGCTATCTATTACACAGGTACAAAGTCATCTGGCTGACCCGCCTTCCCTTGGCAATTCACTAATTTCCCGCTGTTTAAACTCATTTCTATGAACCAAAAGCTATACAGTCAAAGAAGCACAGCGTGTCTTTTCTTCGGTTCTTTTCATTTCCTCGTCCAACGCGCCATTTAACATGTACTTTTAATCACAACAGACTTACCATTGATTTCTTTGTTGTCAGCCAATAAGTTTTTAATCTAATTTTTTCGTCTATAGTAGAAATTTCTTTGTCAAATGAAAAACAAAAAATACTACGTACACAGGAAACCTGAGCCTCCAACTGAGCCGTAATTTTATTAGCTTCCAAAGTGAAATCAAATTCTTTCAATATCCTCATAATGAAGTCTTATGTGAATAAAAAGAAAGAATTGTCAACGATATGGTTCTTTAGTACCATGCAGCGCGTGCACTTTGCACTGCACCGAAAAAGCGTGCGTCTGTAGGGCAGAGGGCGGAATTCGTGCGATAATGAACTCGATCCACAAGCCTTGGCCAAGAACTGTTCTTCTGAGATTACCTAAATACAACAAATATGTGTTTTTCATGCAAAATCGTCAGCCTGTGAATGAAAAAAATATGAGAATGGAAAAGAATATGTGGTCTCGTTGTTTCTGCTACACATTCCAAGTCCGGCTAGCTGCCGAAATGTTTGATGATTCAGCTAAACATCATTTTGTGTCAAGACTGGATAGAATGAACGTAGGGCTCTTGGAGGAAATCGTTAAACATGGTGTATCGCTTTTTTGTTTTCGCATCAGTTAAGAACACCAGCCCCTGAACATCTTTTCATTTCATAATTCATGTTCACAGGTTTTACTTAAAAAAAAAAAATTGGGGCCAACCTAACAACAGTTTCCTAAGATATCTTTGATTGAAATTAACTAAATGACTTTAGCGGTTGTCTAGAAAACAGCTATTATAGTCTTTGAATTAAACACTAGAACCAACAATAACATGATATGAATACAATTTGGATGGAACTAGCATAGAATCGGATCTCTCCATGTGTTCCTTTTAATTTCAAGTGTCGTGAAGGCATTCTTGACAGCCACTGACATACTTACACACATGTGTTTCGCTAAACGCGGCGTCGAGTTCTCAAAAGCTACCAGCTCTGAATTCCCGCTTAAACTCAGAGAGCCACTCCCAACCACAGTTCAACTTCGTACGAGCTACCATCCGGTAAGATGCAATTCTGTGGCGGATAAGTGTTTACAATGTCGACGAAATCCATAGTAGAGAGAAAACGCTATAATTCTGTGATGTAGACATTCGCTACTGTTCAGTTCCCTGTGGGAGGTTTATAGAGATGTAAATCTTACATTACGACAGCTGCTCAAAATCATTGTATCTAGAGCAAAGACCATGACAATGTAAACAGTCAAAGAACTGCAACAATATCGATGGCTTTGAATATTAAAAAGCACCGAGACGGGTATTTATAAGTGCTACAGGAGTAAACAATCATGATCCGTCCAGTTACTGATTTACTGAATGCTGTTAAACGCAAACGGGGATCCTAAGCAAGCTCTAATCTTCAGGAGACCGTAGGTTTAGCCACAAACTCAAAAAAAGTTACACGGGTAGGCTACAAGTTATCAGCGATTGTTTAGCAGTTTACCTAAGTCTGTTGCTCGGTGATATTTTGCCGCCCTTTCCATACTGACCCTCATCGGTCTTTTCTTTGCAAAAATTACGATGAGTTTATAGGATCCTTTGCGTTGTCATGTTTACCGAAATCTCTGTTTTTTCGGCCGAGACATTGAAAAAAGGACCGTCGGGCAATACCCTGATATGTACAGCGCATAACAGAGTTGCTTTGGCGATATTTGAAAGGCCGCGCTTTGTTCGTCGCAGTAATGTTGGCAAGTAAACTGAGTGAAGTATCCCTCATGGATGTTAATCAGACATGCATCCGCTCAGATCGATTTCTTTTATGAAATTTTACATAAGAAATCAGGGCAAAATTCTTACTGTTACTTAGCCAGTCCGGTCGTCTTACATGCCTTCTATTCAACTGAGCCTGTTTTACTTGACTGAATTTGAGACATTACTTTTAACCTACAGATAACCAGAGGGAAGAAAAGACTAGAAGCATGGCTAATAGCAGCGAACACTACAATTCAACTGGTCCTCTCTCGTATCCTCTTTACGGAACAAAGAGTGATCCATCGGAGGCACTACCTGTCGAAGTAGTAAAACTAACCCTCTATGCATCATGTGCTTCGTTTGGTGTTATCGGCAACATTCTGGTCACCGTTATTTTGAATAGGATCAAGGTGAAAGAAACTCGTGTAATGGACTTCTATATGATCAACTTAGCCATCGCAGATTTAGGAACATTGCTGTTGGCTTTGCCATTTGCTGCCACGCGAGAAAGACTTCCTAACTACTGGCCATTTGGAGAATTTGTTTGCCTGTATTTCCTTCCAGTAGTCGAAATATTTCATGGATCATCTGTTTGGTTCATAACGGCAGCTAGCATAGAACGATATCAAAAAATCGGCAAGCCGTCAAAAGTAAACTTTAAACTTCGAGCTTCATTGAAGAAAGCAAAGATCGTTGCTGCGTGCGTATGGATGGCTTCGTTTTTCTTGTTTTCTTTTCCATTGTATTTTGTCGTTCGCTACAGAGAGATATCTAACGAAGGAAAAATTTGGTGCGGTGCAGAATGGCCACTATGGGGTAAAGGGTTTGTTTTACCTCAGGCATACCTCATGTTGATGGTTCTCCTTTCTTACATATTCCCACTTATTGTTATACTGTGGACATTCCTTGCAGTGTCCCGAACGTTAAATGAAAGTAGCAGGTTCATCAAGACCATGAAACAAGGAGAAGATCGCGCCACATTGGTCATGAACCATTGTGATAAAGGTGACTGCACACCCAGAAGGCGTAGTCTCCGTATCGCTCAAAACAAACGTGCTAAAGCGATTTTGACACCAGTTGTTGTAGTTTTTGCAGTTTTCATGCTGCCCCTAGCAATGCTTCGACTATGCATTGTATTTTGGCCGCCTATTGTTGTGCAAACATCTTATGAAAACTTGATGTTTGTGGTCTCACTTGGAGTCATTATCAACTCGTCCACGAATCCGTTGATTTATTCGGTTATTAAGAAGGACTTTCGGCGTGAATTGAAACGGATATTTCAGTACAGCAGGACTTGACGAGTATAGAAGGACATACCCAGCTGATTTATCGATTTTATTTGTCGTTCAAGTAAGGATCCTTTAAAGACTACCCCCTTCCCTCCCCCCCCTAAATATCTCCATATATTTATATAGTGTAACAAAATATACAATGCGTTTCATTCTAGGGACGTTTTAGCAATGATGTTTTATTCTTCAAGGTCCCCATTAAGTTGCTTTTTTGTACCATTCTATATTTGACACTTGTACATATTTCATCATATTTATCCTCAACCGGCAGATGTCAGTAGAACCTAGGAAGCATCGTTCTTTGTATTAAAATCTCTTTAATCGTTGTTATGTTCCCCTGTAAGGATAATTTCGTCATCTCATTAACTACAAGTCCAAATGTGATTTATTTCTTTTATTTGTGATGAGATTGCATAATAACTGGGAACAAAAAAAACCCTCCATTATTTTACGCGTAATTGAGTGTGTAAAAACCCTCCCTGGCATCAAGAAGGCAAGGGTTCGAATAACGCCCGTGTGCAAGTTTCTTTAAGAGAGTTGAAAGTTTTGAGTTTTCGAGTGGCAATTTGTTTGGCGGTCGTTGATACTTACCGTGAGTTACCGTTTACTGCGTTACCAATAGACGTGTTTGTTGATTTCCGTTTCGCTTCCGAGCACTCCCTATGAACACACCTTGAAATTATATTGTTAGGACTTGGACAGATAAGACGCGTTTTTTTCGACGCAGTTGTGCAGTCTCAGCTGCTAAACCATCAGTAACCAGTGCGTATGAAGAAAAAGCCACGTGTTTTAAGCGACCAGGTTTTCTTTTTTGGGAGGGGGGAGGGGAGGCTGCATTGAAGCACTTCTTTTCAAATATATTCCATGTTGCTGTGTGTCTGTTTAGAGCACATGTGACATCAAAATGTGGTGACAACAGAAACGTGGCACACGAGGTACAGCAAAAATTAATTTGCTCTCTGTGCGCTTGTGCAAACTACAGAAAAAGTATGATTTGGGTCAATCCGCGTCAAAAGACTGAAACAAAAATCTCAGCATGGGCTCGCTGGAACTAGGATGAAGCTGGCTGTTTTAACCAATCACATCCCTATCACGTTCGCTTTGTACTGAAATGTGACTCAAAGATATGAAAAAGTAGAACCTCTATCTCCCTGGTTCTTACACGGCTCGCACCAGTCCTGGAGTGCCCAGTAATCTTTTGTTTATTCGTTGTTTCTTTTTGGTTTTTTGGTGGGCCCTCCATGTATAATGCACGTGGTGTCCTACCCGTCTACTATCTCTTCTCCTCCTTCTTTTACGAGCGGATATTTTGGGTTCGTTTTAACCAAGAGATTAAATTCTCTTGGTCTTAACGGTATAGTTTATTGATTTAAAATAAGAAAACATTGAGATAAATAAAATCTACGGGGAAACAGTAAACTCAAAACGGGAAAAAAATGTTGAAACGGAAGATCGAACACATTTCAGGAGCTGGTATTGATTGATTCATGATCATGTGATTTCCCACGTCGAAAGGAAACGTGCTCATCTTTAAGCCCTGGTCAAACGGCGCATGATAGTCGATGATAGTTGATGATAGTTGATGATAGTCGATGATAGTTGAAGCGCGTGCTTCCGTTTGACCACCAACTATCATGCACTATCATCGACTATCACCAACTATCATTCATTTTGAGCTTGTTCAAATTCTTCTTGATAGTCGATGATAGTTTTTCTCGTTTGACCACGCGTATGATAGTTCATAATAGTTTTTGGTCAGCTGTTTTCCCCGAAAATCGGCGGGCTCGTTCAAAATGGCCCGGTTTAATCTCAGACCCGACAGCTGTCAATATTTCCTGAAATGTTTCAAAGTTCATTCGCAACATTTCCTTGTAAGCGGCAGTGTCCTCCACTCGCAATTCTTCCACCAATTTCAACATCCCCCTTTCGTTTCTCTTTTTAATCCATTCCCTTGTCCGTCCTCTCTTCCGCCAACGCTCTCCAGATTTATCCTCCGTACATTCCTTCAACAAATTGATTACTAGTAAGCAAGCTGCCGCCCTCTTTCGTCGTGATAAATTCATACTTCAACAAGTTTGTTTGTCTCACGCGAAGCCATGTTAGTGATCACATTTTACGCGGTAAGAGCCTGGAACTAGCTGCTCGCGTGACTTTGCTCGCGCGACTGCCGCTGAACTATCATCAACTATCACAAACTTTTTTGGCCGTTTGACCATGCGAATGATAGTTGGTGATAGTTGATGATAGTTTGAATAGAATCAGCTATCATCGCCTATCATGCGCCGTTGGACCAAGGCCTTATTTTCAAATGACGCACGTGGAAATATAATTTATTTTATCAATATATATTTATATATCCACTCAGTAAAGTTGGTGATGGAACATTTCATCTGTGATCGATGTCTTTTTCTTAATTCTTTTCTATCTATAACTCAGTCTTGCATCATGTTCTAAGACCGTGATTGTGTTTCAAAAAGTGTTGTTTTTCACATAGCCATTCATCACAAGACGGAAGACCGACTTCTGGCGCCAGTTTTGATCTCATCACGTTTAGTTTACTCTAATGATACAAATTTACATTTTGTTCCTGAAGCCTCCAACGATTAATCTTGTACACAGTGGTGTATTAGCTCAATGGCAGAACTCTTACATAACATCGAACTGTGTGTGTTAGTGCTGCAGCGAAGACACCTGGCAGAAGTATTCTGTAGTAAGAACAAAGAAAAAAAAAAAAGTTTCCAACCGTGAATCCTTACAAAGAAAAACAAAAACAAAAAATCTCTTGAACACTAAATAGATATCTACTCCCTTTCTGATTTTAGTCACTTTTTCCTTTTTGGGGCAAGACACTTAGAGAGGAACATTGAAAAAAACTACTGATGGAAATACGCAATTGGTCGAGATTAACATATAGATGAGCTAATGAAAGGTGTGCGAGAAAAATAGAATTGTTTTAAGTTTACTTTTTGCGAAGTGCAGTCTTATTAAAGAGTTGTCCTCAGGTGGCGCTATACAATTATTGATTTAGAGAAAAACTCTACGTAGATAGCCACAGGGCTTTTGGCTCTCCCCCTGAGGTTAATATGTCGGAAGGAGAGAATTACGGTTGCGTGCGGGGCTAATAATGACAATCTCCTCTTGTTTTGTGAAGTAATTTGTCACGAAACTATAAGTTGAATACACAGTTTAATTCAGGTATACACCTTTATTTCATATCAAATATTAGTTTGCAAATATGAAAGAGTTCTGCTAAATCCTGGTTTTCGGCCTACAACGAATGCCATAAAAAACAACTGTACTAGCCTTTTGACAAAATACACTCAATAAACAACGGTAATCGAAAAGAGTAAACAAGTTTGAACCTGAAGGCTATGAAATATATTATATTTGCAACATCTTCGAATTCAACGAGGATTTTGTCTTATCAATTCAAGAACGCGAAATCCGATTGGGACCCAATTTTGCAGAAAAAAAGGCTCGATTATGCTTTTGGCCCCCGTGAGGATCTTCTCTTCCAGCAAAGTAATCGAATCATTTGTCGGCGGAAATCATTCCTAACCACCGAATATATAATCGGGTTTGCAGACGAGTTGATTATAACCCCAACTGAAACCGCAAACAGCAAGTCGTTGTAAAATGTTTGCGCTGTAATAGGTGGCCAAAACACGATGCACAGGCGAAGAACCGTCAACGGAAGTATGAACACAGCAAAAATTCCAACAACTGGTGTTAAAATCATTTTAGCACGTCTGTTTCGAGCAACCCGATTGGCATGCCTTCTTGTTGGGTTAAATTTTCGACTGTTTAAGCTGAGTAATTTACTGTCTTGTTCGTGTTGCGAATTCATAGCCTTAATAAACTTGCTGCTTTTATTTAGTTTACGCGACACTGCGATGAATGTTCCCGATATAACAAAAAGTGGCATTACATAGGATACAAAGATCATGAAAGTAAAGTAAAGTTTGGTTAGAGCAAGGCCTGCTCCTGCTACAGGCAAATTTGAACCACACCTAAATCTTCCTTTAGTGGGCATCTCTGTATAGCGAAGAACAAAATATAGCGGCAGTGAAAAGACGACAAATGACAGAACCCATGTGCTCACTGCAACGATCTGTGCTCTTTTCAACGATACTGGGAGTTTCGTGTTTACTTTGGAAGGCCTGGCAATTTTCTGATATCGTTCTATGGCAGCTGCTGTAATGAACCAAACTGATGATCCGTGAAATATGTCTGTAAGTGGAAGGAAATACAGGCAAACAATCTCTCCAAATGGCCAATCATTCGGAAGTCTCTCACGTATCGCGGTCATTGGAAATGCCAGCAGCAAAGTTCCTAAATCCGCTAGGGCTATATTAATCATGTAGAAGTCCATTACTCTCGTTTCCTTCGCCTTGATCTTCGACAAAATAACTGTCGTTAGGATGTTACCGAGAACGCCAAAGAGACCCCACGTTGCATAGAGCATGATCTTTATCACTTCCACACACTGTGACTGTAGTGCCTCACCGCTGCTTGTGTTTCCACCGATAGTGGACGAAAAGTTTTCAGTGGACACAGTTGAAAAACTGCTGACGGGCGTCATAATAAGTGTCTCTCCTTAATGAATTTCTCGATGGTATCAGGTTTTCTGTGTGAAGTGCGGCTCGCGACGAACAATCTGTTTCGATCTGTTTCGAGGCAAACTTCCGTCCTTTACAAGAACTTCAGTTCGGAAATCGACCCCTGTTTCTCAAATGTTTGGAGTTTGGCTAAACTGTTCGTAGCTGTTCGAACAAATACACTCTAGAACATGTCTTGCAACCTTGTTGGATCCAATGAAACTGCGGCATTTTTGAGTAACCCATGGTTCTTAAGGTCTTTTAAATTATGCACGCACAACTGCATTGTTTACCATGTTATTCAATTTGTAGGTAATGTCACACGCGTCACAATTGGTTTCAAACAAAAAATTATAAGAACAAAGTTTGTTTTGTCTTAATTTTACAAAAATGTGTTGAAAGTTTGATCAGGAGAAACTAATCCCTGGCAAACTTGTATCCAACTTCAGATAACATGTTATTTTAAAAATAAGTTATATGACGTATTATAAATTTAAAAATAAAACGAAAAGAAGAATTGGCGGTTTTATTGTATGACATGTGAAAAGGTAATGACATGCGCAGCTTGTCATTGAGAAAAGATGAGAAATAAGTGTAATTAAAGTTTGTATTATTTCAACGTTTATTTTTTTCTTTCACACTTCCCCCTCCCCCCCCCCCCCATAATTATTTTATCTTTTTTGTAACGGATTAGAGTCACTGGAGTTTAAACGGCCAAGTTTTGCTTGTAAATTTTTCGTTAATATTGTCAAGCGGAAAAACCTTAATATGGAAAGGCTGTAGGGGTCTTAAGGAGAAATTCTAGAATAGTAAGTTTTCCCCGACGAAGGTCTTAGACAAGTTGTCGTGATACTGTATAATCCTCCGAACAAAATTGAATGCTACTCCCACATGAACCTGAGTAAGATAAACCTGATGTTGACTTTTTAGGACTTTGTGGGGCTGCTGCTGCTTTTCTCCAGCTAGGCCACCTGTGGTCGAGTTTATATTGTTAAGATCAAGGTCAGTAAAAACAACGGGTACTTTAAGTTGAATAGCTTAATTTGTATTTGTACCTTACGTGTTTAATATGAATTCATTGCATTTTATAAAACGTTTCGTTGCCGTATAGCCTGCAAACTAAATGTAACAATGACATTTCATATTTAATACGGCTTGTTATTAGAATTTTAATTATTCTTCAAAGAGAAGCGCGTGTCGTATTTGTTACTGTGGACAACATAATTCAAAGAGTTTGGCGTTGTAAGTCAAAAAGAGAATCCCGGCTTTAACTTTTTTCCGAAGGTCCGATTCAGCGGGTGGTTGTACACAGTGTTTCATAGAACTGAAAGCCAAAAGAAAACGCGCTATGAAAAAGTGATAGAATGTGGCGATATTTTCATTCCGTTTTCTTCATATTGCATGCAAGGAAGGAGAAACGCACGAAAGAAAAAACTGACCCTGGGGATAGTTATGGCCATGGTGAGTCGTCATGGAGAGTTAATTCGTTCAACTCCCGTGGAAGTAAATGAGGCCTCCCCTACGCTTTTCATTAAACCTGGATGACACGATATTTTTTTTTTTCTGAAAAACATGAATTGTCTGCATCATTTAACAATGCAAGGTCAAGGTGCTAGGGTAGTAGGAATCAGAATTTTAATTTTTTTTCTTTTTCCAAGAAACGGGAAAAAGTCGAGGACCACATTGATTGACCAAATTTCAACGAGAAAGGATTAATCAGGGCGTGAATTTCGAATTTCTGAAGTTTAACTCCTCGTGCAGATCCAACGCTCATGACAGATGGTCTCCTTGTTTGCAAGCTTGATTGATTAAAAGGGAAAAACACCCGAGAGGAGAAAACAATCTCACGAGCCTTGTCATGCGATCGTGAAACCAATTGGAAATTGTTTTTCTCCTAGCACATTTTTTGGGGTTTTGTTGATTTGTTTGTTTGTTCGTTTGTTATTTTTTTTTTCAGAGGGATTTAGACGGGTATTCACGCGCACGCAATCCTGTGCGGAGATCCCGCGCCCACCTTTCCCGCTTGTAATAGCCAATCAGAACACAGGTTATGATCTTCATCTTTTTAACCACTCCTCTAGCCGTAACATAAGCTTTTGCATATTCGTCACTAGTGCCGTTCGTTATCAGCTACATTTTTGCGTGAATGGGCAGAAACGAATTTTGTGCGTTATTCGTTACGTGTTTTAAGGAGATATTTTGGCGTCACTGTTTAGAGATGATTTGGTTTGATTTTAGCTTGATCAAATCTTTCGTGAACTACTACTATCTGATTGGTGCTTGTGACGAATCAGCGCCACAAACGTGGGTGCCCTCCAACATACAAAAAACACAAAACATAAACAGGCCCGAGAAGACACGCTACAAGACAACTAAACGTAGGCCTAGAAATATTTATTACTCTAAGTAAGACAATATGGGAGTAAAAAAATACAGACAAAAAAAAAAATAAATAAACTGAATTATTTACCCTAATTACAATAATACGATAAAACTAAATTGCTGAATTATTTACCTAAATTACTCAACAAGAGTTTACAAGTACGTGATAATTTAAAACTAGAATGCGCTAACTACATGAATAAGTGACAAGGCTGGTCGAGCAAGGTTACGAGATGATATGACAAGAAGCTCAGTTTTGTCTTTATTTAGTTTTAATTTATTAAGAAGCATGCAGGTGTCAATTTCGCGCACACAGGCCTCCAATTTACACTTGCTCAACTCCATATCATTAAGGGATGACGTCTCGAATTTTACATAGAGCTGCGTATCATCCACATAAAAGTGAAAACTGAACTGGTGCTTACAGGCGATATCACTTAATGGAGAGGTGTACATTAAGTAAAGGACCAACTACTGACCCTTAGGTACACCAAACTGCAGAACATGACGCTCAGAGGTCGATCCATTGATATTAACAAATTGAGTGCGATTGCTTAAATACGATCGAAACCATTCCAATGCTGTACTTCGAATTCCAAATCGACGAGAAAGACGTGAAAGTAAGATAGAGTGGTCAACCGTGTTGACAATCGCCAGGAGAAAATGCCTTCTCCATCTCCATCTCCATCTCCTTAGCCAAACAGCCATAATAGCCATATCCTGATAGCAAGTCTCGATCGTCAGACACAAGCTGTTAAAAAAAACATTCAATCAAAAGAGGAACAGAAGAGAAAATGGCAAAAGACTGCAGTAGTTTTGACCATGAGCTGTCCTCGATGTAGACCCACTGATACGGGAATATGATGCCGTTTACAGAAAGTATGGCCGCTGACTCAGACAGCATGCTCATAATGGCGATTTCAGCCACGAGTCTTTCACGTCTAGGAGTGTGAAAAATTCCCCAGGGGGCAGATGTTCTTTTCCATAGCAGATGACAAATGCGATCAATTGCAACCATAGCACTACGCTCTACAACTTCTGCCGCTCCGTGTATTATCCCAAAACGCGATTGACTTTAAGTTGTCTAAATCCGCCTGTAAAATTCGAAAAACAACTGCTGATATGTAATACAACGGCGCTGAAAACACGTAAGAGTAACCCAGATGGGTAATGTTCCATAACTGCTGCGTGCAAATGCGTGCTATTGGTTTCAGTAAGACACCAACTAGCGGTGCAAATACAGCAATGAGCAGCTTACCATCTTAATCTTCTTTTATGTATGCTGGGTAAATTAAATGCGTGAATATCGTACCAAGAATAAATGTCAGGCAATTACGAGATGTCATTTGGAAGAACAAAGAAATCTTTCATTTCATTGAGCGCGTGCAAAAATGTTCCGTTAAGAGATAAACTTGGACACCAAAATTTGTGAGAAAAGTAATGTCTACCGGTATCTTTTGAACCTCCGAAAGTTTGGAGAACTACGGACATTCCCAGAACCTGTAGAACTGTTGAACCGATAGGTAGCATCGATAGAGTAAGGGATGAATAGAGCCAAAAACCACAGGCTGCCCAAGCTCTCATTGAGAACCACACAAGGAACACGATTTGCATATTTATAAGGATTTGTATGGGATTTTCTACAAGATATCCACAGAGATAGTTAAAAGTGAAAATATTAAATAAAAATGGCTCACCTTGTTCCATACGTGTGTTGTTTGCTCCTGGTGTCATTATTTTACCGATTTCACTTGATTTAAGCGGTTTTTTTTTAATCCTGGCTTTCTACTACATAAAGAGAAGATGTAGAATGGTAAAATAATTACACCAGGAGCAACCAACACACGTATGGAACAAGGTGAGCCATTTTTATTTAATATTTTCACTTTTAACTATCTCTGTGGATATCTTGTAGAAAATCCCATACAAATCCTTATAAATATGCAAATTGTGTTCCTTGTGTGGTTCTCAAAGAGAGCTTGGGC